ATCCCTTACTGCAACTTGTGCCGTTCACGGGGGAACGGGGCCCTCTTGTCCCGAGTTTGAGCATAGTTCCAGTTCCATAAATGCATTTAATCTTTTTTTTTCGTTTCTTTTTTTTTTTCTCCCCGTTTTTAAAGTACCTTAGAAGAAAAATGAAAAAGCAAAACAACCACCACCCTCCGAGCAGGAAGCTGCTGCCGCAGCRGCAGTTGTACAAGTCAATAAATCATGCTGTTTGTACGAGGTGCCTGGCGCCTTGCGGCGCGTCGCGGAGCCGCGGGCACAGGCGGCGCCGGGGGCTGCGCGGGAGCTGGCGGCTCTGCCCCGCGGCTCTGCTGCGGGCCGGGAGCTGGGAGTGAATGTGGCTTCAGGGGCTGGCGCAGCCTGCAGGGAAGGGGAGGGGAGGGCGGGCAGCACCTTATGGTCAGTCCCRGGGAGACGAAATGGAAAAGCAGGCGCTAAACGGAGGCAGAAGGGGCYGCTCCGCGACAGCCCCTGCGGCAGCGCCGGCTGGCGCCGAGCCCCTCGGTTTGGGGGCAGGAGCCCCRCGGGTGCTCGGGCACAGGGCGGGCACAGCGCTGCTCCCGAGCCCCTGYGCCAGAGCCCACGCTGGGAGTCGCTGGGTTTAAACAGCCCTTTGCCGAGTTCAGTTGCTCGAATTTTTTCAGCTTTAGCTCAGCAGCTGGGGAGGGCGTGCGGCTGCGGACGGAGGCCGGGGGTGCTCCTCACATTCCTCCGGCCTAAACGCTCGCCACAAATAGCCCGTTCTCAGCCCCGCGCTATTTCTGACAGCAGTGGGGAAAAGACTCCTGAGGGCCGACGCAATGGAAAGTATKTGACCCTCCCTGGACGGTGGGAAAGCAGCAGGCAGAGGCTGCGACTGCCCCGGCCCCGCCGCTGCTCCCATCCCAGCTCCAGGAYGGTGCCGGGTGGGAAGGCACCAGGCAAGGGCAGGTGCCGGAGGCAGGCGGAGCTGCCCCTTTCCAAGCACCGACCTCTGGAGCTCCCGTGGCCACGCTGCCCGCACCTCGAGCTGGCTCTGCATCACCCCGGCAGCACTGGGCGCCGCTCAGCGTCCGCAGGGACAGCGCGGGGTCCCCTCCTGCTGCAGGGCTCCTTTGGGCGCAGCGGGGCTGTGCAGAGCCCTGCTCCTCCCCGCAGGGCACCCTGAGCCGCACGTCAGGGCAGGGAGAGGCCCCGCGGTTTCGTTACCTGCCTTGACAAGAGGCGCCGGAGGCGGCAGCGCTGCCGGCYGAGCCACAGGCTCCATCCTTGCAGGAGCGCCGGGTCCCGCGGCCTCRCTGCTCCCACAGCCCAACGGTGTCYGTGCCGGCCGCTGCTCCYGCCCTGCAGGCACCGGGATGTGGAAGAGGCCGCCGTTCTTAGAAGGCGCCACTGAGACCCAGTCCTGGCTCTGCGAGGCCTCCAGGCCTGGGGAAGGCGCCTGTCCCRCAGGGCYGGGYCGCTGGGCCCCTCTGTGGSGTTTGGCACCTTAGGGAGGCAGCASGAGGCCCCGGGAGCCCGCGGCTCCTCCGCAGGGTCCTCCTTTGCCCCCGCGCTGTGGCTGCCGCCATTCCCTGCTCAGACCCCGTGTCTCCCACCCACCTTCCAGCAGCCCCCGCAGCTCCTGCCTTTCCAGAGTGTCTTCCCAGTCCGGAGCCAGCCCTGAGTCCCCCAGTCACGTTATCTTTCCTTCCAAAGCCCTGCCTGTGTTGCCCACGGGCTGGGGCTGCCCGGGAACAGTCAAACCCGCTCGTGTCGCACGGAGCAGCCTCAGCCTCCGGCCTCGTCCCTCGCTGGTGCCCCCAGGGAGGCCGGAGCGCCCGGCCGGGCCCCCCCCCGTGTTGCGGCCAAGCAGAYGGTGCTCCCGCCTGCAGCCGAACAAACAGCACCTATAGAGAGCACGGTGTAAATAAGGGGGATTTTATTAGTGGAAGAAAAAAGACCACTGCTGTTGAGGGAGCACTTCAGAAACAGCCCGTCAGCTGCCGGCCATCACCACCGACTCGCAGCCCTCTGGCAAGCGACACCAGCAAGGCCCGCCCTGGAGCCACGGCCGCAGCAATGAGCAAGACCCGGCTCGAGGGGCCACGGGACCCTTCAGGCGCCGCCGCGGCTCTTGACAACTAAAGCAGAGACAAAAACTACTGAGGTKCCACAAGCAATTCAGGATCTGCAAAGCTCTGGGTCCAGGATCTGCAGCGTCAGCCCCGCCACCCATGTGCCGAACTCCGTCCCTTTGAAATGAGGGGGAAGCATGGAGGAGGGAAAAATGCATAAACTGGAATGGTCAACAGAAAAAAATCATCATTTATCTAAAAAGAATAGAAATAAACAAAATGCTTTTAAACAAAATCACAAAATATACAAATAAATCTGGTACAAAATAAATAGGAAAGATTGGAAATCTACAACAAAATCAGAATAATTATAAAATTCATTCGTATGACAATCAGTATATGAACCGTATACACTTCATTCATGGATTGCAGTTGTGCTTTTCAGGTTTATGTACACCATTGGAATACTGTAGTCAGAATACTACAACTCTGAAAACCCAAGGTAATGTACAATATGATACAAGTAGCAAAGACCACGCAGGATGGAAAGTAAGACACAGTGAGGAGCCCCGGGACTGGCAGCGTGACGCAGGCAGCCGGGYGGGCGCACGGAGCCCCGGGACGCGGGTCCAGCGGGAACTGCGGCGCACGGGGCAGGTCTGGGGTCATGGATGAAGTCAGGACCAGAGCCCCTGCAGGCGCAGGTTTTACAGGAAAGGGCGAAATACAGGGAAACATCTGGGGTTAGAGCCGCTGGTTGCAGAGAACCAGCCACTCATGGCTTCCTGGGGCCGCATCCTTAGGTATTTGGGTTTGCAGTTTCACTTGGCACCTGGATCCTGCCCTGGGACCCGGGGAGTCACCGGGGCTGCAGCTGCGCCGGGGCCGGGTTGTTGGTGCCGCTGGTGCCCCCGGTCCCGCAGGGAGGGCAGCGAGGCCTCGAGCAGCAGGGGGGCCTGGGGCAGCCCCCGCTGCCTTCCCACCGACAGCCGCCGTCCCGGCACGACCTGCGGCCAGACCACGAGCTGGCCCCCCAGCCGGACCCCCGGCAGAACCACCGGCTGGACCCGGTCAGCCCACGGGTGAGGCTGAGGCYGGCGCTCCCGTTGCCACTTCCAGCTCCAGGCCTAGAGCCAGGCCCCAGCTACACGTGTCTCGCGTGACRCTGGCAGGATCTGGTGCAAGGGGAGGCCCAGGGCTGGGCCCGTCCTCCTCCGCCCGACTCCGCAGCCGCTCAGCTGCCAACCGGTGCTGCCCGGTACCTGCACAAGCCCTAGACGTGGGACCAGCCCTTCTGTCCCCCCCCCCGCAAGCAGCTCCCTTCACCCCTGCTCCTGTGACCCCGGGATCGCAGCCCGGAACGCACCAACCGCTGCTCCTGCCGCAGCGGTGCAGGCCCTGCTCTCAACCCAAAGCCAGACCCCACAACTGGCAGCTTCTTTGGTCAGCGGCTAAARCTCTCCCTGCAGGGCAAGGATTGAACACAAGCACTTGGGTAACCACAGCCTGGGTGCTGGCAGTGGCAGGCATCGGCTCTGCTCAAGGAAACAGGGCCCGAAGGAAAGAGGAGAGCTCATTTTCAGCAGGAAACAGCAAATCTCCAGCTTTGCGTACCTTAGCGCCAAGGGCCAGGGGCATTTCCGAGCGTAACGGGGACACCACGACACGACAAGCAGTTTTTGGCAGAGCTTGGTGCTACTGAAGCAGGAAACGCCTCCCATGGCCATCGGTACCGTGCAAGGGGCTGCAGGCAGCTTTCCAGCAGTCCTTCCCTTCCCTGCAACGCAGGGAACGCCTGGGGTGCTGCAGCGAGCGAGGATACAGCCCCCATGAATCCAGCCTCTAGGACGAGAGCCGAGGCGGGTGCCTGGGAGAGGAGGCAGCAGGGAGCGCTCTGCTCTTCGGAGCGTCGCTCCCTTCCCCACGCAGCCCGATTCCTACCGGTGATCCGGACCTGGGAAAGCTCGACAACCCCCCACAGGTACGAGCTTTAACAGCCACAGCCGCCTCGCAGGTGTCACACGGAACAGGGCCCCTCTTCCAGGTGGGAATGATTTCTAGCCGTCAGACGGGCGCCCCAGCGGCTCCTCCACGGGCTGCTCGCGCGGCGCCGCTCTTGGCCGTCCCTCCCCGGGCCGTCACCCTCGGCCCCCTCTTTGGTTCCGTGTCCTCTGAGCCCGGCGCCGCGGCCCGAATCCCGGCCCGGCCTGTGCTGGGCGCTGACGGCCGAGGAGCCGCCAGGGCAACTCGCCCCGGCGCCGAGCGCAAAGGGCTGCGTCCGGAGGCTCCGACTCCCTGCTCCGACCGCACAAAAAGGCACTTAAAGAAAAGAAGGGGAAAAAAAAGTGAGGAAAAAAGGGGATGTAAGTCTAGGAGAGCAGAGCAGGAATGGACCACGCTGATTGCTGGCGGCACCGCTCCACACGGAGCCCCGGAGCTGCAGCCGTGTGCGCAGCCGCCTCCCTCCCTCCGCAGCTCGTCCCTCCGGCGCTGAAATCCTGCCCATCCCGGTGCTGCCCATCCCAGKGCTCGGCCCCGGGGAGGCCCGAGGGCGGCCGGCCGGGAGCGCTCCATGTGGAAACGGAGGCCGGAGCCGGGAGCTGCGTCGCTGGCCGCAGCGCCCGGCCTCTGCGCACGGACACCCCCGTCCCCTGCTCCGCTGGGACGGGCGCCCTCGCCCGCACGTGGGTTCCAGGACACACGTGGGGGATAAAACACCAAGTGCTCCGCAAACCCCGGGCGCTCCGTGCTTGGCGTCTACGGGGAAGACGAGGTTGGGCGGCCGGGCTGCCCCGAGCCCCTCTCCGCKCGCAGGCAGCGGGTTTGGCGCCAGCTCCAGGCCACCGGAGTCGGTCTTGTTCGGAGAAAGATGCTCATTGGGAAGCCGGGACATTCCTTCACTCTTTACAAAGATTTGGCAAAACACAATTTAAAAAAAAAATAAATCATAGTTACAACAGATTCAGGTTCATTTCATTTAAAGGAAATTCAACCAACAGGAGTGTAAAAGTTATAATTCACAGTTATGCATTTAAGATATTAGTGTTGAAAACCTCACTTCAAAGAACTTTTGTGCAAAATTGTATTGACAGTAGAAACCATGGCTAGATGCCCCCCAGCCTCCCAAGCCAAGCGGCCACCACTGCCCCCGTGCCCGTGCCCAGCCGGAGCCCGGAGCAGCGCGGGCGGCCGGGCTGGCACCCCGAGATGCAGTGTCCTTCCCGCGAGCCAAAGCCCGGCCAAGCTCCGAGGTGAAGCCCAGCCATTCCCAAAGCCACCGGCTGGTGCCCCGGACTCATGGCTCTGCCACGCGGGGCTCCGTGGCAGGGAATGCAGCATCAGAGCCGGAATGCAGGGGCCACAGCCCCGGACAGAGCCTGGAGCCCCTCTAGTTCCGCAGCTCCCCACCCCAGGGGCTGGGAACCCCTCTCCTCTGGGGAACAGCAGAGCTGTAAAGACCCTGAGAACAGGGAGTCTGGATCGTTGCCCTCTGTGGAGGGGACCGTGCCCTGCTCTTCAAGCTAATTAGTAGTAGCAGCTCCCAACCCCTCTGGGTCAGGTACATATTTTCCATATGAAACAYGTCTATAATCAACTATTTTTGTGGAAATTATTTCACTTTCCATTATTGGAACTGTACAAATGACGAGAAACAGTCATGCAAAAATCGCCTGCAAATTTTAGAACAGTGCAGCGTGGGCAGAAGCAGGAGGTATTTGCTTTGGGATCACATGGCTTTGGTTGGAAAAAACAGGCTTTTTAATTTTTTCTTAATGGAAAGAGACACTAAAAGAAACCCACAACCTGACATAAGAAGCAGAAGTGGGAGCGGGCGAGCGAGGCCATCCCAGAGCGCGAGGGGCCTTGGCTTGGGCCCTGCCTCCGCCGGCAGCGTGGATACTGCATCTCGGGGTCACGTCAAGCACTTTTTCCATCAGCTTTGACATCCAGCAATGCTGGGGGAAGCGGCAGCGGCCCCAGTGGGATGAGTCCCCCCCGATCCCGCCGCTCGGCTCCGTGGGGAAGGCGCGAAGCCGGCGGATCCGCACGGAGCAGCGCGCGGTGCCACTGCAGACGTGTCGCTGCGCGGCTCGAGGCTCCCTTTGGGTGGGGAAAAGCTGGGAATCGAAACAGGGAATAACACGAGCCAAGTGTGGGGGCCTGGTTTCCTCATCGCTCACTGCATATACTGGATATCACGGAATTTCTATGCCCCCTTGTGGGGACTTCCCCCGTCCAGCTTGCTGCCCCTTCCACGAAGGGAAGCGCATCCTTCCCTCGGAGGCCGTTTGCAGAGCAGAGAGCAAAAACGAGGCTGCTTCCTGAGGCTGGGACCCACGCTCGGAAGCCCCGCACCTCGACTGCCTGCAGGGAGTCCCTGCAGCAAAATATTGCACCTTTCCAGGAAGCACTCGCAGAGAGGGGGCACGGGAGCTGCCCCAACGGGAGCAGGAGAGGTGTGGGGCAGGACAGGGAGCTCTGGCAGCCACATTTGGGCCCAGGGGTTTCTCTGAGGGTCAGATGAGACTATCCGAGTAAAGAAGGGAAATGCTACAGAACCAGGACCACAGAACAGGCTTGAACCAGAGAGCTCAAAGCCTCATTTGTTCTTCTCTCCAGACCCTAATACTAAAGGCAACGCTCAGATGTTGCTTGAGACAAGGCTGGAGGGGAGATGCTCAGGAGAGGGGGACGTGTCTCCCACTGCAGGACCTGTGTGGGACTTCAAAGCCCGCTCGGGGGAGCGGGAAGGCCAAGGTGTGACCCACAAGTGCCACAGGATGCTCCTGCACCCAGGCCCCGGGCAGGTTTTCAGCGAGGAGGAGCTGGTTTCTGCTTCTGCTGTTCTCCATCTGCACGGAGGAACTTGCTGTCCTGCACTAAGGGCCGCCGGCGGGGAGGCTCTCAGCTCACCTACCAGGGCAATCCCTAAAACAGCTGTTAAAAAAGGGGAGAGAGAGAGAAAGAAGGAAGGAAATTCACTGAATTGTCTCGAGGGAAGGAATGTGGCAGGGGAAGGGCCTCTCCGAATCCCTGAAGTGCAACACGCTCGTGCCTGGGAAGTTGTGTCAGTCCTTGGAGAGGGCAGGATGGTCCCGACGCCCCGGCTGAGCCCGTCCTCGCCCTGGCGGGGGTTTAGTGTCGCTCCGAGGATGTGCTTTGGGCTTAACAGCAGCAGCATCTGTTCTGTTAACACTAGGGATTCAAGTGGGGAACAGGGAGCAAAGAACACGAGCCCGCTGTGGCCAAGGTAGCTGCAAACAGACTATCCGGCACGTGGCCACTTAAAGCCTGTCACTTTGGGGTGCAGAGTCAACTTAAAGATGCAATTCTGAGAACATCAGAGGAAAATCACCCAGTTCCACCGTTGTGAAAAGCTACCCCTGGCTTGCGTTTCACAATTGCGCTGCTGAGCTCCTTCCCCCCAGCATCACGTTTAACACACACAAGGGTTTGGGAGGTGACAGGCCCAAGGGTAACAACGCTTTTGCCTGGTTTACAAAGAAACCTTCTCAGCTTTGCAGATCGTTACATTCCAAAATGACCACTCCTTCCCTGAAGCTTCACTGCAAGAACGCAATGACACTCATCCCTTGACCCTCTGGGTGGCTGAAACCAGAGGTTTCTCCAAGCTTGCTCATCGTTAGGAGACAAACACATACAAGTACCGGTTCTAACTTCAACAGGGCAACAAAAAGAACCAGAGGGAGGTGAAAAGAGGGCTAAGGACATTGGAACCAACTTACAAAACCACAATAGAACTTACTTCAGGATGGGGAGGGACAGAAACCATTTAAAACTCTGCAAAATACTTTTTAAAAACATGATCTCTCTTGAAAAAATAATCGGAGCAGTTTTTAAACTTCTCCGTATGTGTTTGAGGAGGAAAAAAAACCCAACAAGGGTGCAAAATACAGATAAAAAATAAACATGATTCTACTTTGCAAGAAGTACTTTCATCGTTCTCGAGGGTGGCTCACCATTCCCAAAGTACGCCCGGGGCTTTAGTCCGTCTTGCTCTTTGCTCCTTTCTTCCCGTTTCTTCCTCTTCTGCTCCCAGAACGGAGGCAAAAGTCTTTGGTCTCCGAACACGGGCTGGAGCGCCGTGTTGCAAGCTCATACTAACGGTGTCGACACTCGGGGAGGAGGCAGGAGGGAGCGAGGGCTGGTCCTGCGGAGGAGATGGGGTGGGAGGGTTGTGGGCAGCTCCTAGATGGCTCCTTCACTGTGCATACTGTGGTTGGGCTTGCTGTGGCTCACACAGTTCTGTTCGTTCAGCAGGTTTGCGGTCTCGTCCGGCAAACCGTCGTGCAGCTCCGTAAGAGTCAGTTCGATTTTAGTGTTTTCACTGTCCGAGGACTGGGGGGTTTTGTCCATCCGTGATGCCATCAGGGCATTTTGGTACTGCTGTCTGGAGATCTGCTCCAAGCACAGGAGGAAGGAACAAGAAGAGCCAGTCATGCTTTCGTCTGCCCCACGGCACACACGAAGGAAACGAAGTCCCCCTCCCTTTCCAGATGGCCACATTTAAACTCTGGTTTACCTGGGATCAGCTCCACTTCTACAAGACATCCCTGTGCTTTGCAAGCCTAGAACATCCCAACTCAACACCATGACATGGAGACATTTCCAGGGACAAGGTGGAAGCACAGAGCTATGCAATCACCATGCTGTTCTAAGGCAGGGACTTATTCCCATGCAGAGATTTCTAAATCAAATCTCCATTTCCTTGTACTCAGGCACATTTTTAGGGTTGGAACCAGAGTTCAGTGAAGTCTTTCTCCCAACTTCAGTGAGCTCCGGGCGAGTTTCCAAGATTTGTCCCCACAGAGGCAGAGGGGAAGAGCTCTACTGCTCAGGTCTAGGCCAGCGAGTGCAGCAACACCTAGATCCTAATTCTCATACATAAGGCATTTGATTCTGGTAAAAACTGGATCTCCATAGAGATGAGATCAAATTAGCGACCCGTACAGTCTTCAACCAGCTGCGCTCAGCAGAGGAGTCGTCACAGGAGCTCTCAATACTGCCTGTGACACCTCAGGGGCAAGGAAGGCCAGAGTCCCCTTTGCTGAATACGGAGGTAGAGGGGAGCCTTCCTCCCAGACCAGCAGGGTCCAACTCTTCTGGAGCAGCCTTTATGGCCAGGACACACAACAGGATCTACTTGTGTTGGCAGCCCACATGCTCGCAGAGCAGCGGGTCAGGCGGGAAGAKGGAAGAGGTTGAGCAAGAAGAGCTGGAAATGGAGATGGCAGATGGACCAAGGCACAGCATCCAGAGGAAAAATCCAAACATGCACTAGCAGGTTACGGCCTTGGCTAAAAGGTGTTAATTGAGCAAACRCCACGCGGGACAACGAGCACACTCATGTTGAATGCTACCCTGTGCACAGGGTAGGAGCGGAGTGATGCAAAAAGAGGTGTTCGAGTTTGACAGTTCAGCATCCATGAGCCTCTGTRTGGACACAGTGAGAGCTGGAAGGCCTCCACATAAACCAGCACAAGATGAGCAGCTCTGTACTGCTCTGTACAGCAGACTGGCCACTCAAATCTATAGCAGGACTTGGTAACATTAGCTCAGCTTAAGGGCAGCTTGCCTAGCAGCAGATATGAATTGGTCTAAACGTCAAAAACTCAATAACCAGTACACATGCACTGGTCAAATTTTCAAGGCAAAACTGCACTTCCTTTTAAAATTTGGCTCCCTGTCGATGTGGAACAATTCATTTGCACTCCAGCACTTATGCTCTATTCCAYATTATTTTTAATATTGAATTAACCTTGACAGAAGTTGAGTTCACCAATCTTCTGAGTGGCATCCAAAGACATGCACTTTCCTTAAGAAAGGCATCACGGTCAGTCTCTGGCCACAGGGCTCCAAGCTGAGCTACAATCACTGCCAGCATTAGCTGTTCCTCAGCTCTGCTGCCTTTCCTCATCCCACTGGCACACGCTGCAGTGTGGGATGCACCATGCTGGGGGACGGAGCTGGTTCATGCAGCAACTCACTGGCATTATGAGACATGAGCCTAACATATGAAGTTAAGATAAAGATAAATGTCCAAGGCTTCTCCAAGGAGAATAAGGATGATGAGTTGGAAAGTAAGATCAAGAGCCCCAAACTGAAACCAAAATCAAAAGTGAATAAAAACTGCATCCAACACGAAATATCTTATCCTTCAGGAACTGGCACTGTCATCTAGGGAAAGGTTTCCACTCTTGAGAGCTCCGAAGGCTTCGTGAGTACACATCTTCATGACTAAAAGCACACAAAAGGTCTTTTCTATGAATTCTCCTTGAAGGACCTGGAATCTAGGAACCTATATGACCCATCACAGGGGAGGAATAACGAAGACAGAAAGCAACAGACTGCAACTGCTTGGAAAAAGTGATTGATTTTAAAGCAGGCTGCTGCTTTCATCATCCTATCTACTCACAGTGCTGCAGAGCAATCTACAGAAACCTCCCTTCCCCAGGCTCTCCAACATGCCTCTTAAGCCCAGCTTTTCAGCAGGGCCTTAGAGCTCTTTTCCTACCTTGACAAACTGAATGTCTGTGAGTGCTTTCACTGAGTAGTCCGGGACATACACTTGCAGGAAAGATGCATTCAGTTGGTTGTTGCTGCTCCCTAACGTTGGTGTCACTGCGTCAATGCGATCACTTCGGTTTAAAGAGTCTGAGTGATTCAAGCCACAGGGCCGAGGTGGAGACTTGTTTTCAGCTGAGAAACAGGCAAGAGGGAGAGAATTGTTAAAATTAAGTAGAAAGCATTTAGAACCATCTGTTTCAAAGGGACATAATAAATCATGATATCACACAGAAGATCTGCAAGTACTTAATCTACTTATAATAAGACATGCAGCTCAACAACAAAATTACCCCAAGAAAAGCACATTTTGAATCCAGAGCCAGTAGCAGAGATCACCGAGTATAGCTTAAACACACCTGGCTTTATTTGTTCTACCACAGATAAGGCACTGTGTTCAGCTGGACACAGCATTTCAGCTGTGCATGAGAATTGCAGGGAAAGGTAAATTCCCAAGACTTCCTAGGAGGAAAACCTTCATGGTCAGACCATATTTAACAGATTTCTTCTTACTGATTTATAATCATACCACCAGTAACAGACCTTTTATGTACAGAGCAAGTCCCAGCTGACTGTTATCCTCATAACTTTATTCCATCTGGTACCTATAGCTATTATCCTTGTCTTGTGGATTAGACCAGACACATTCTTCAAAGTGTAACAGCGGTGAGTGACAAGAGACCTCAGTGGACCGAAGTGTCCCTTGCACAGTCCATGTGRCAATTATTTCAATACAGTTTATTCTACTACCTGTCAGTGCTTGAAACTTGAAAGATGGAAACTCAGAGGAGGAGAGCAAGCTCCATTTGGCACATGCCAGCCAGCAAAACAGAGAAAATGGTCCATGCTACAGAGGAGAAAGCGTGYCCAGGAAAGATATGGACTATAAAGGAGTAAAACTAGAGAAAACTGCTTTCTGCCATTGGTTTGTATGGTATGTGCTGCAGGGTTTTACTTAACAACTGAAACCTTGCAGGTAACCAGAGGAGTGACTGACCACAGCTCTCCTAATGTGCTGAGTTCGGCGAGCCACAAATATCCTGTATCTCTAGGTTGTGCCCAAAAAGGGACCCAGGACAGGAGAGCAGGCAGAAATGCATCCTAAAAGGGACCCAACCCTTCCTACAGATGGGCTTCTCTTAGATGCACAGAGTAATCAAAGAGTCATCTCTGGGACTGGTGAATTTTTGGACGCTGCTGCAATCAGATTTCGTCCACCCAGCTCACACTGAAACTTGCTGTAAGCTACACTACTCACTGTGCAACCACACTGACAACTGAAACATCATTTTCACATCATCTTTAGATACGAAGCCTCTTTGAGCAAGTCAGCAACAGTGTCCTTGCAAGCTTTGCCATTTCCTTTTTGGTAAATTTTCGACATGGAAACTTAGGTCAAAAGAAAAAAAAAATCCTCCCCAAATACAACCCCCTATGCTTGTCACTTAATCACTCTGAACATAATTGTTCTTTGCCAGGGGACACAGCTGGTTCTACATCCAGCCTTTTGTCATCTTAAAATTTAGATTCTTCCAGATGCATGACAGAATTGTCCTACTTCTTATTTCCTACTTAACCACTTAAAAATGGTTATCTCCTTCCTTCAATTAAAAGGAAAAAAAAAAAAAGCTGAATGGAAAAATACAAGTTCTGAAAACCTGGCATTTCCACATTAGTGGAATTAGAGGAATTAGTGCAAGTCCCTCTGGTTGCACCACATAGGGGTTAGACGCCAGGAACCAAATGGGGCTTCAAGCGTGCTCCCAGCCAGAGCGGCTCCAATTCCCCCTGGAGAACCAGGAAATGGGAAGACTGAATGGATCTGTGCTGTCTTTCCCACCGGCGTACACAGAACGGGGCTGTGTGTGACCAGCACTGCTGCTGTTGGGAATGAAGATTTCCACCTGCAACAGCTTTACATTCACCTGGCTCGGATCTCTCCTGCTCTTCCTTGGGAGTCCCATAGTTCATTTCTGATAAATAAAAAGAAGGACAGAGAGCAACGTGACAAAGCCAGCTGAAGAAAGCAGGGGATAGGGAGAGTGAAAGGAGAGAACAAGAGAGTAGGACCAGAGAAAATCTCGGATGAGTAGGATGAGAGGGAAAAGACATCACCTCTGGATCTATGTACAAGTTGGGAAGGGAGAAGAAAGTTGGTGAAGGAGAGAGGATGCAGAAAGAGCAGAAGGCAGAAAGACAACCAGGCAGCTMCACGTTGGCAGAGCAGTGCCCTGCCAGCCTCCAGCAGGTCTGCACGGACCTTTTCTACGTGGGGTTCCCCATAGTCCTCAAATTCCTATAGCAGGGGTAAAGAGCACAAAGCACAGAACAAACATCAACACCACCACRTTATGTATTTCGGGTTAAAAAGCAGGCTCCTTTATAGAGGACCCAACAGAAGGTCCAAGTTTCATCAAACCTGGTACCATGCACAGGCTGATGTTTATCTGCAACCACCGCCATGGTGACCAGGGTTACTGCATGAGTTTCTTTCAAATAAGACATTCTCTGCATAATTGCTTTGCATAATTGATTTCTGGAGTGGAGGAGGAAAAAATGAAGAAAAAAGAAGCAAAGAAAGGAATGGGACCTAGCAAAACAAAAGAACCAGCCTAAAAATAATAATCCAAGCTGCTGAGCTTAAAAGAAAGCCATCAGGTACTTCAACTAAAGAGAGATTAAACATCTGCCTCTTATTTCAAGTTTAGCAGCAGGGACCTTTAACAGGGCATGAAAAAAGTTCCCTGCAGATCAACAACCTGTGGCTTGGTTGGAATGCACAACTGTAAGGACTGAGGGTGAAATACGTTTTCAAAATTGAAAGGAAGCAAGGGGAAAAAAAGCAGCAGATGGTGAATTTTTTTGAAATGTACAATATGTACCAATGTTTAGGAGTTGTTTCACTTAAATATGCACATAATTATCTTATTTGTTTCTAAGTCCGGGAAGACACATACATCTGAAAACTTCAAAATGAAGAAATATGTTCYGTGCAGCCCAAACTATTTTAGGTTCTGCTGTTCCTGTAGACTTTCTTGGGTGGGTTCCACTTTTCTCACCTACACTCTGCATGCTCAGTGCCTGCAAAGCTCAGTTCTTAACCATTCCCAACTTTTACCCATTCAGCCACATCCTGGAGCACATTTTGGCCCAATTTCTTACCCCTCTCAAGGGTCTTTCTATGTCAGTCAACTCAATCGCTTGGCAAAAAAATGGAACAAAAACAAAACAAAGCAAAACAAGACCAGGAGTTCCCACACCTTCTTGCATATTCCACTGCAAGTCTGTCCCCTCTGTAAATCACTGTGCAGTCCACAGCATTAACCTCACTGAAAGAAAATTCAACACTTTTGTCTAAAATGGTAGAATTTAACACCTGTTTGAAAAAGTCTTTAATTGAGCAAGTGCTTCTTCCATGGCAACTTAGCAACAGATCCTCACTCTGCTAAATGAATTTTCTCCAAAAGCTTTTAAGCACTTCTTAACATCAGCTTAGGGGAGGATATCATCCTCTAAAATTTTCCCTCCTAATATTTCACCAGGGCATGAATGCAAACCAAGAACAAGTGCACGTTACCATAGGCCTTCTCTCAACCACGAGTTTAGTTCTTTCCATTTTGATGGCTCCATCACGTTAGCTGGTTACCAGTAAATGTGCAGGATACCTACCTGGGAGGCATAATGTTGTGCTGGGCTTCTCCCTAACGAGCAAAGGGGTCAGATAAATACAGACTGCGACTGATTTTTTATGGCATCAGGGCAGTCACAAGAATGGTGAAAATAGAAGCATGCGGATTTACCTGGAGAACCTGCTGCTAACAACTCTGTTCTGCTGACAACAAATGTACGAGACAGGGACAAGGGAACTAGAAGAGGGAGAGAAAAAGGATGAGATCACGACCAGAAAGGCGGCAGCTACCCACACTTGACAGGGGAGGGAGCCAGCTCTCACACTGAAGAACTAAAACCAAAAGTGCAAATCAACTGTGGAAAAGTAAAGGGTTAAAAAAAATCCCAAGCAAACAAAAAGACAATTAAACAATTTTAGGAATAAACCAAAACAAACAAACAAAAAAACCACCAAGCCTACAGAATTACACAGTGAAGTTGCTAGTTTGAGTGGTCTATCAAGTTATACACATAATTTGAAAGGAGTGGTGGTAGCCACTTCAGCCTGGAAAACAGAGTTAAAACACGGCAGGAAGCCTCCATGGGGCCAATTCCTAATAGGAGCAAAATAAAAATAGAAACTAAACCAAGGGAGACTTTATAGTTCATCAAGTTTTCAATACATCACTAAGCGATGTTCTAATTTTCTTAGTTCATCCTTGTCAGAATGGTTACGAGACTGCTAAATATTACCATAAATCCCTCCCTAACTACAGCTTTATAAAAAAGCTTCACTGTTTTCTTTCCCCTCAAACATGTTTTACTCTCCTGTTACTCACTTCATATTCTCCTGTTCTGCAAAGGTTCATACTTTAACTGAGTGTCATGTCTACCTAGGGCAACAAGGATTACTTCATTTTTCATGAGCTCATCTTAACAGAAATTTCAGGATGCTGTAAGGCATCATAAAGCAAATCCTCTGAAATCTAGCAGGGAAAGCTGGCAAAATTAAGGACTAGGTGCTGGTAAAAAAMCAACCAGCTGTAGGGAAACAAATCCAGGGTTAGCAGAGATTAATTCAAAATAGCGCTTTAAGTTTTACATGACAAAATCTAGGATGGGTTTCAGTGCAGACACATGTGAAGGGGCGATGATGTGACCTCCAGGATGGGCAGCAACTGGCAGGGATGCAGGGATGGTTAGCAACACAAGGGGAAAAAGGGGGAAAACACTAGAACATTCAAAATAACCAGTGCTGGCAAAAAGAGAAGCCACAAATGACTTCCAAGAGTACGTCATGTAGGGTTGATGGCTGCTAGCCCATATTGTAAAAGCTGAGCACAGCACAGTATGACACACTTGTGTACACACGTGTTACATATGATTCATCACAAGTACTATGGTTATTGCACAGGTAAAATCCTCCCAGCAGCCTGCACACTTCCAGATCTGCCCAACCTCAACAGGTGCAACCAAGAGGAGCTGAACTGAAGCGCATGGGCTCCGGACACAGCTAGTCTTGCCTCTGCACAGGGGCTCCTAACAGAGATCCACCAGAAGATGAGGAAAAGGGCAGCACGACGCCGACCGGCTGCACCTTGGACAGCTGCRGAACTGCTACTGGTCGGAGAGCTTACTCTACTACAGCTGTATCCTTAATATATCCRTATATCCAAATGTACATGTAAGGATGTATGTGCACATAGAGAGAATGCGCACGAAGCTCCTGGTAAAACCAGACTGCCCAAGTCTTCTCTACAGGACTGTGGATTCCCAGTTAAGATCAAGATCTTGGTGATATAAAAGGCAACACTGCCAGCCCTGAAGCACATTAGTAGCAACGTGCAGTGAGGGCCCAACACCGAGCCCAGCACCACCCAGCGTGTGGGACAGCATGAAACGCAGCCTGCGTTGACCCAGCTCTAAAGGAGCAGAGCAGCCAAGGAAGTGCATGAAGCTGCTGATCCTGAAGCAATCCTCCAGTGTGGACCTGCGAGGCGGATGCTCGTGACACTGCGGTTGGTGCTGGAGGAATTTGCTCCCCTCTCAGCTTGGCCACCAGCTCTCCCCCGTGCTGCTCTCTGCGCAGCCTGGCATGGGTGATCCCTGAAACTTGCTGCTCTCAGTTTGCTCAAGGCAGCTTTAGACACAGGTAAAACAAGCTGCACGCAAACGAATGAGTTGTTTGTGTTTTATACCACTAGATGTCCCCCTGCTACTAATTACTTATTCTCGTTAATGCAATCCCTAGGATGACACTATGAGAAGAAAAAAACAAAGCTGCCACTTGGTACCAAATGCATCGCTTACTAAGGCCAGCGTTTGCATCTGCCCAGAGCTGGCAAGCTCGTGGGAGCTGCTCAGCTTTTGGAGTTAGCACCACCACGGCCTCGGCCCCAGCTGGGGAGGTGACATGGGGCAGCTTTGCTAGCGAGCAAGAACCGCGCGCGAGGAGGGTCCAGAAGAGGATGGTCACAGAACATACCTGGCGATGCTGTCAGGGCCATCACCCCATAGTAGGAAAAAGCACCAGCTTCAAACTTCATCCCCTCTTTCCCAGCCTCCACTTCCACTTTCCCCTGTTAAGGAAAAGGAGAAAGAGAGAGCAGCAATTAAATAGGGCCAGGAGCACTAGACCAGACTTGCGCCCTGAGAGCTGGTTTTGCCTGATGTCATCAAGGTAGCCCCATGGTCCCTGCACTCTGTAGTGGTGTCTTGAGACAGGAGAGAGCAAAGCGCCCATTCCTTGAGCTCTTCTAACCTTAGGTTGCCCCTGGCTGGCAAAAACCAAGCCAGGGGGCAAATATTCCCCCCAGGAGCACAGGAASCTTCCATGCACCACAGTCACCTGGGGCCTACCTGCAATGCTTTCCCTCTGACTGAGCTGGAAAGGCTGAGCTGGAAAGARAGAGAGCTGGAAAGGTTGCCAGTCCCACATGCTGATTAGACTAACCATCAAATGGACAGAGTCAAGTCAAGATGAGCATAAAAGGTAGATATTCTTTCTATGCATTTGCAGCAAAAGCTATTTAAAACAACTAACCATACTTCTAACTTTACAGTACTGTATTGAGGCAGAAAACTATGAAAACTGAATCACCCTGGAAGAGACCTGAAACCAAGCCAGTTTGCCTGACTGTCCCAGACGAGGAAAAGCTCTCAAAAGGTATGGAACTGGAACAGAGTGTCTAGCTCACAAATCCCCTTTCCTGCTATCAGAGGCAATCACTTCATATAATCCCTTTTAAAACCAATTTCAGTCCACAATACAAATAAGTAGCTTATTTGTTCATTATAAGCCTTCCAAAAGGCACTATTCTGGTCAGCAAAGACTGGYTGTAGACAGGGTGCTCAGCTTACTTATCGCTGGTGTTTGCCAGGCAAGCCCAGGTCTGCAAAATACATCTACACGTGAAGCTTTGATCTTCATGCACATGAAGCTACTAACTCCACTGTGAAGTTAGTAGCTAAAACCTTACAAACTAGTATTTAGCCATAGGAATAGTATCCTGGTTCCAGGATTATTACTCCATCAGCACACAAAACTTCTAGGCTTCCTGCTTGTGGCCATATAAAGACTGGGTTTGCGTGGCACTGCCTTGGCAGCTGAAGGGCAGATAGCTCCATGCATACCATTAGATATGTTCTGCCCTGTTTTACATGCCCATGGTTTCTGTTTTTCCACTATTTCATTTATTATTTTCCACCATTGTGAATTTAAAAAAAAAAATCAGAGTAACAAAACCAATCTCAAACCGCCGCAGAAGAACTTCTCAGTAGCTAGGAGAAAAGCTGTTACAAACAGGTGATTAAGTTGGAAAATTTAATATCTAGAAAAACCTATTTACTCGTGTTCTCGTATGCTCTTACTGTGATGCTTGTCATGCTGGTGTCTCCAAGTGACAGAATAAATCCTCAAATCAGACTGTTTAAGTAACAAAAGCAGAAGTTTTATCCCCTYTGGATTTTGCAGAACCAAACTTGTTACCATTTTCACAGTGTGTGTCTACTACAAGACTCCCTTTTCCAAACTCAATACAGTGCAATGTTTTTGCTCATCAGCCATTTATTCACAACTAACTGTTCTTTGCATCATACATGTCCTTCATTGATATCTTTGCAGTATTACTTCATTCAGGACTATTCCAGCCTGCACGGATACAGCACATAAGGAAGGGCAGTTAAAGAGCAACAGTGGTTCCTAGAAGACTTCCAAAACCAATCCTTTGGCAGTAAGTTGAATTCACAATGTCACGTTTCAGTGCTTGCTTTATTATTCATCACAGATGGCATTTAAAACTAAAACACCTTCCATTTTTCTTTTTTAATTTTTAAGGTCAGGTTAAGGAAGACTTCCATAGAACTTCAGCTATTTCCGCCTGTCTATCCAGGCTAGAAATATGAAATCTGTCCAGTAAAATTTCCCTCCAAGGAGCAGGGGCCAGCAGCGCAGGGCTCAGCACACGGTGCGCTGCCCTCGCCAGCACCCGTGCTTCCCACAACAGCAAGAGCGCAACCCCTTCAGCTGCACAGTGCAAAGGGCAACCCCCTCAGCTGCACAGCAAAAATACATGGTGCCAAACTGTCAAACTCCCCACGCCTCCTCTTGCAAAAGGACAAAATGCGTCAGTGAAAACATCCCGGCCAAACTCCTGTGAGGACCTTTGTACGTGTGATTTCCAAGCAATGCCACTGTGCACAGAGATTCCTTTGCATTGCCAATCCTAGTAATACCTAKCATGTGGCTTCCAGGAGATGACTGGAAGTGGGAAGTGTTGTCCACACTTCACCGTGGATTAAACTCAAGGCAGTTGAATGAGTTGTTCAAGGCTATGATTATGAAGGAAGCAGAACAGTTCCCAGCAGCCAAAGCTCCATTCCCACATTTGGAAAAAGACAAAACTCAACAGCTAGAGTGAGTATAGAGGGGGAGATGTTAGTAGATGATGTTGCATACATCTACAAAGCCACATGTCTGACCTGTAAAATGAGAATGAAGTAGTCGACGGGCTTGTTTCGCTGGTAGAGGTAGTATTCTGGGGCTTTCTTGTTCTTCTCATCGTATTTCAGCTCCTGGATTACGTTGGGATGTTTTAGCAGCCTGAGAAGGATCTTCTCTGACATCTGGGATGGACCAAAGGCTTCTACTTCTACAACACAAGACACAACTTGGCATTACACTTCAGATGCCTGGCAAGAAGTTAAGTCATGCTCATTAATAAGCATTTGCTTATAAAAGAAACACAGATGCAGACAGATCCATTACGGAATTGCAGGCTTCTTGTCTTTCGATACTCTCRGATTTGTAGGGAAAAAACAGAAACAAAACCTGGAAAATCCCAACCTTAATTACACAAGTACTTTTGAAAACAACCAAGAATCTTTTCTTCATCTGAAAGGGGAAAAAAAGGCAGACTTGCACATTTGAGAGTTCAGAGTCACAGTTGTACAGGCTCATTGCAGTTATAAATGGATAAGCATTACAATCAGGGCACCAAGAACCTCTGAATATTGTTTTCTGTATTAATCATAACATATATATAGCACATGTTTAAAAAAAAAAATCACCTAGAAAGTCAAAAGACACCATTCAGGTTGCCACCACTGGTATAGGAAGAGTTACTCAAAGTGAGAGACAGTGCAGGTCAATTCACAGCACATGGGATTAATACCTGACACAMAGAGCACATGCCCTATCCTCGTGCTTTGCGGTAACCAGTGGTCCCAAGAGGAGCTGTCTGAAGGGAAAAAGCTCAATTGTGCGGGGGAGAGTTAGGCCAGAGACGCCAAGATTTAAACATGCAAATTGGTAAGATTTCCTAATACCTCATTTCAGAACTGGGCTGTTAATAAACCCCGAGTTTTCATTTCCTAGAGATACTACTCTTAATTTAGAATGGAGAAAACAAAATTGTAGCATCCAACTTCAAAGCCAGAGCTGAATTTAAACTACACAATTCTTTCATTCACGAAACAAGCAGAGAGGCAGTACTGCAAACACTACTTTGGTTGAGGTGTTCAGGGAACTCCACGAAGTCTTGTACACCAACATGAACAAGGCTCTGCTTGCCATTAAATCCGAGTCTTCTTGTTGAATTGCTTCCTTTCACCAAGGTCATGCTCACATGCACATAAGCAGCAGGAGTCCGAGCCTAAGGAATTGCTGCCCCTCAGCTGAGGTATCATAACTCATCACTTACATGGGTCTCAAGTCACGGAGGCAAAACAAAGCATGAAGACAGACTGGGTGCATCTAGGCTGACAGTTACAGCTTCTTAGAGGAGGGCAAGCTCTAATTTCCACCTTGAGCTGGCAAGCCCAAGAAAGCAGTTTATCATTTGCAACCCATGAATGTATGTTGAACACATCAGTGAAGATGCCCGTCTGGAAGGCCCACRTGTGAAAATTCTTTATATGCCAAAAAGAGACAGTACAAGCAATAGGAAGGTATGTTTTCCACAAGCTCTCCCATGAACAGGTCTTATCTCYGAGGTGAAGGGGCCAATTCTAAGACGAAAGGCACTGATGTCAGCTGCAAGAAATCATTCAAGCCCTGGCCTCTCTGCCAGACTGTGTGCCCAAGGGCATCAAGGTGATCTGGGCTGGAGACAACTGTCCTCCGAAACCTGAAGCCATCAATGGAGGTCATACAAGCCAGCAAGAAATTCATTTTTTTCAGTTACAGTCCAACCACCTGTGCAGTCCGCAATAAATGTGTCAGCAGAGTTTTTCATTTCAAGTCAAAAAAGTCTCATGGAACAAGTTTCTGCTTTCCCACACAAAGTCCAGCATTTCTTTCGGGATGAGGCGCCTGGGTGGTATTAAAGCCCGCTGGCCAGTGGCATCGAGTCCTCTTTGCTTTGTTCCCTGAGCTCTTCCTAAGGGGTGCGCTTGCTAGTCGTTAATCTGACGGACTCTAGACATGCAGTGCGGCACTTGGCATTCATCCTTACCTTTCAGACCAATTTAAAGTTACTGGTCCACCCCTGGTAAATGTCTCAGAGGGTTCATGCCGACACTGAACACAGGAGAGGAGAGAATTTAAAAAGAAAAACACAAAAGTGGCATTATTTGTCACCCCACCGCCCAGCCTCCCTTCCCGCCTACACTGTCCCAACCCGCCTCACCGGCCTTTGCTCACAAACTGCCTCCGAGGCTCTGGCACGATCACAAAACTGATAAGCCACACTTGCCTGTTGCCAGGAACCGGTGCATGGCCAGGAGGAGCTGCGGTGATATTTTAACCTTCATCTCGCTGTCTGTCTGCTTGAAGGCAGAGAAGTCCTGCTTCCTGTCCCGATGGGCGACTTTCTTTTTCGTCTTGTTATCAGCTGGGGAAAGGGAGGGTGGGAGAGGATGGGAAGGAAGCGAGCTCTGTTAGGCCAGGGTTCACGTGAAGCGCGCTGGAYGCAGCAGCCAGGGCAGCCCAGCACAAACCGCGCCGAGACCCCTCTGCAGTGCAAGCAAAACCCTTGGCACGCGTTGTGCAAGAGAAATGACCCGTGACTTGCACTGTGGGCCCCAGTTGTGCAGATCCTGTCATCCTACTTTACTGGGAGGAAGTATCTCCCTAGATACTCATGAGCATCTCACGGCAGCCCAGGCTCTGCCTACAGATAACGTGCATATGCACAACTTCTCTTCTCGTGCTCTCAACTTCTCACCGACATCTCTAGAGGCCGTGAGGCAGAGCAGACTACAGGAGCCTCAGATAATACTGGGTGTGTGTCAGCTACAGAGTCCTTGAGGAACCAGGTGCAGAGCTTCAGCAAGCCCCTTCTGGTGAAAGCTGCAAATTTACAATCCCTTCCACCATAAACATTCAATGGATTTTCATAGAACTGTCAGAAAAGCACCTCTCCAATAGCAAGGCAGCAAAAAGACTTTTAAAGCTTCAAAGGTGTAATAAGGGTGCCAAAATCTGCCTTTAAGTGAACATCTGGCACAGAGCAATTCAGCCCCAACTCCAATTCGGCAAAGTTGGAAGCAAGCTAGTGTTGTCTTTAATGGTCACTAYGAGAGAACTCAAATCCTGGTGGTTACTGACACATCAGCAACAGAAGCAGCAGCTGAACACACTGCCGACAAGAAGCTACTTGCAGTGAAACAAAAGCGTGCTCCTACCACCATAACCATTTGAAGTGGTTACAGAGTCCCAAGCTGCTCAATTATCAAACATGCCACATCTTCTGGGATCCTCAGTTTCTACATGCATTTCTGTTCTCCTCCCTACCTCCCTAGTTTCCTTCGACTTGAGCAGTGGGATGAATTCTCATGCTTCCTTAGGAGAGCAGAAGATCATCTTAATGCTTCACAGCAGGAGCCACCCCTCAAAATTTCCTGCCTCCTCCAGGAAGCAGAGGAAAGTTCCCTCCTATTCCGACCTATAAATTTTCAGTAATAAAATCTTCCCAGGAAGGACAGTTTCAAATGAAGTMATGTTTGCTAGCTCCATTTTGTTAATCTAAGAAGTTTTCATATAGCAAAATTAAGTTCTTATTTCGTTACCCTCTAACACATATTTATAGCCTAACTTCTTTTTCCTGCAACATCAACTGTAGCATCATCCATGAACTTTCTTTTAGTAAACAAAGAAAATAGCAGTGGAAAGCCTATGTCATTATTTTCACTTGTAGGAACAAGGTTCTCTCTCAGATGTGACAAGACAAGACAGGATCCTTTTGAATTACAAAAGAAAGTGTGAATTCGCCCTGTAAAAATAATATGCCATAACCGATTAGCCTAACAATACCTTTATGAAAGTCTGAACAAAAAGAAACCACGGTATTAACTGGAGTTCTGTGATTTGGAAAGTAATTCGACTGTTTACAGTGTAGCATAAAACTGGGGTTTGCATGAAACTTTGTGCATATAAACACCAGTAAAATACTGATTCAGCTACCAAAAGTAATCCAGGGAATAACTATTAAGAAAAGTGGTAGAAGTATATGTCTGTCCCATGCTGGAAAGAGTTTGTTTGGCTTGGAGGCAGCTACAAGATTCTCATGTTGGTATGGAAAAGATCCTGTAGAAATATTCAGATCCCTTCCACAGGGAAGCAAGGAACAAAGCAAAGAACTTCTAAATAGTATTAAAGATATTTAAAATGCCTGTCTGTATGACGACAGAGCCTGGGGACAACCTTGTGCTATGTACTACATAAACATAATAGTAAAAAATAGCATCCACCTGCAAGAGAGCAAGGTATAGATAGGATGCATGGGGAATGATGGAAAGRAAGTCCAACATAAACATGTCAGAAGGGAATCAGATGGGAACAATAGCAAAAACACTTTGGGTGTTTTTAGAAACTCTAACTTGGCAAAAAAAAAAGCCCAGATTTCTCAGGTCCCAAATAATGTTCTACCTGTAACATTTTCTTCCTCAATGCATATTAATAGTGAAAAAGAAAGGAGCTGTATAAAGTGGTAAAAGGAGGAGCCACTTAGGACACTGATTTGCAACTTGAAGAAGCATTTCCTTTCTCAGGCTCTGAGCAAGAGACAGAAACAGGCTCTGGACAGATTACATTCCCCTTCCTGGTGGCACAGTTACCTGTCCAACTGCTGGCTRAAGTGCAGCACGTGCTAAAGGCCCTTGAGGTAGAAGAGGGTGCAAACGTGAGAGGTGGTGAGCAATGTAATGAAACACTGATTAGAGAGAGAACTGCTAGCAGAAAAGATCAGAATGCTACAAATGKGAGTCTTCTAGATGGTGGAGTCAAATAAAGCAAGCTGCTCTGTTTCTGTATCAACACTGCATTAAGGGGTGAGGCACCATGCTGTAAAAACAGCTGGTGCTGTGACCATCTGAGGGATCTGCAGGTCATTCAACCCTTCAGATTTTAGATCRGCATCTTGCATCTCTCAAAACAAAGCTGTTAGACACAGATGCTGCTGGGTGGAATCTCGCCTCTCAAATATAAAATGCAAATACGTCTACTCACTGTATAGATCTGTTTCATCCAAAATTTCGGATTTGATGATCTCTTCAATCACGTCTTCTAAAGTGACAATTCCCAGGACTTCATAAAAAGGATCTCCTTCTCCTTCATTGTTTACTCTTTGTACTATRGCCAGGTGGGACTTGCCTGCAAGGAGACAGATTAGCAATTCAGACATTTTAGATATTCCCAAAAGATCAGAAATCATAGCAGAATTATGGACATTYAAGTATAAATCAAAAGACATACAAGTTGGTTCCAGACCTTATACAACAAAGAGGCAAAATTTTACAGTACTTAAAATCCTAATCTGATTTCTATCAGAGAATCTCATTCCTGGCTCACATAAATCCACGTGAAACACTAAAGGACAGTCAACAACCCTGACGTTCTGTTCCCAATTTCTTTCTCTACTGAAGCTGTCACTCTAGCATTAAATTCATTGTACTATTTTGTTGATGCTTCTTTCTCTTCTTGTCTCATACATGAGGGTGAGAAGGTCAAACAAGAGTCTTCCTTTGCAGAGAGCTCCCATGCATGTTCTTTGCACATGTGGAAATAACAGCATCAGCAGCCAAACCTCAGAAGCACAAGGACAGGGCAGAGCTAGGGGAGAAGAGGTCAATGTGATCCACGAGTTGCTCTCCTCCTTCCTGCTGCACAAATAATTTATTTAGATACACTCTATACAGAAGAGGGCTTACTTAGGAGTTAATCAATTAAAATATCAAAGGGACAGCTTCTGTTTAACAAAGAGAAGAGCTATGATGAGATGTATTAGAGGCTCTAAAGACCCCTAAGCTGCTCATTGCTCACAGCGCATTTTGTAACTCCTGAAGTCCCTTCTGCTCGAGGAATCAAGAGAAAATCATGACCCTTTGAATCCACTTTGACATCCGTGGTAGCCAGTTCCCGTGGCTGCCACTGAAAGTCATCTCTGCGAAGAGACGCAGCGAGCTCTGCGTTCGGAGAGCTCACCGAAGTTTCGAAGCATAAATACGGCAGATTTCAACATGCTTCATGAGGCATTAGGAGTTGAGCAATGTTCTCTCACGTTCCTCTGTATTAGCTTCAAAAACCTGACACTCATCCCCATCTGTGGAAGATAACCAAAATAGCTCAACTTTGCTCAAACCCCTTTATAGGCAATAATGTCTGTGTGCTTGAAGGTTCAGATTATTAGACCAGCAAGCATTCAAAGTATTCCAACCCAGACTTGCTCATGCTCGAAGAATGAAAATATCCTGAACAAATTAGACTAGGCAGAAAAACTTATCAACTACTGATATAAACATTGCATCAGGTCAAGTCAATTCACTTTGGTAAGATTTTCACATCTGCTTTCCCAGGGACCCAACATAAGCAGTTAAAAACAAATTCTTGGTGAATGCTGTCTGTCGAAAGTTAAATTCTTTTGCTATTCCCAGCTTGTGATCATTTAAAAGGAATTTTCCAAAGCAGGGTCTAATATTAGACTCAAAATGAAGTTTCCATTCCACTTAGGCGATATTCTCACCAAAGTAACTGCTGCATAATCTGATTGTCTTGGAGCTACTCGTTTAGATGCAGATGGACATACTTTAAATACCAGCTCCACAGCACTGCTGAGTCTTATCTTGAAGAGACCTTATTCTACAGTGAATTATTAGAAAGATGATTTGTGATTTTAAAGGCTCAACATTTTTACTGTAATGAAAGTCTCTTGTGGTGCTAGTTTTTAYTTCCTTAATTCCTTAAATGCAGGACTTCCAGCTCTTTTTACTGGTCAACAGCATTAAAAATCAAAGAAAGGTGTCTTGGTAAAAGAGTGAGGTATTAGCATCATCGCTGTTCCCCTGTAATACCTTAATCCAGTTTCATCCCTTCAGTGCAATGATATTCAAGAAGGATCTGCGGCACAAAAAAGGTCACACGGATAAAACAAAGCACTGTAACTGACTCCTGGTGTTTGCTCTGACATTAGTATATTTGCTTTCAAGTCAAAAGGCGTAACTCCCTCAGGAACTATCTCTGTAACTGAGCAGAGGAGCTCATTTTCATTCAGATGCTGGTTCCTGAGGATCACCATGCCCATTCATTAGTGTGTACTAAGACTACTCAGACCCAAACAAACAGGTAAAATTTTWAAAAAAATGGCCTCATCAGACAACACCAGTATTATATTAACTCCATGTTACAGCTTTGATCAAAACAACCAACTTTTCCTGCAATTCCAAATTTCCTACCATAAGACTGAACTACTTGACATAATTTTACATTTGGCACAAAAAGACCAGCCTGTTATCAGCAAGAGTCCTGGAAAACAGTAGGCACATCTGCAAGCAATGGGACGGAGTTATGGAAAAGGGTCCAGGAAGGAGCTGAAGGTTGCACTAGCACAGAAAGTGCACAGGACTCTCAGCATCAAACCCTTTCTTGATTGTCCCATTGGGGTCCTGTCCTGACCAAGACTTTAGGATCACTGCACTTTTGGACTGTTGACACCATCCCCATTTTAGCATCTGCAACACTCTGTTCTAATTAAGAGCACTTAACAGCACTGCTAAGACTGCTGAGTCTAATTAAAAGCCCTCAATGTGGTGAGACTTATCCCCCAAAATGGCATTGAACCTTTAGGGTCAATCGTCAATGAACATCTCAATAGGTAACATCAATTTCCAGCTTTATCTTTTTTCTTTTTTTTTTTACAATAACATTTTGCAGTGTTTATCTGCCACAAATACACATCCAGCCTGACACCACCATCCTTCCGTCTCAATTGTACAGTTTTCATACTGCTGACTGCCATGAATTCATCACTTCAGTGGGGTGCAAACCAAGGCTGTGGGCTCAGCAGACTTCAAGCCAATCTAAGCAGGCTCCTCTACAAGGCTGCCTTTTGCTCCTGGAGTCCTGCCCTTCAAATACTCCCGAGATCACCCGTCCAGTCAGAGCAGAGAGCTGATCCATCCGAAAATTGTATTTATTGGGTCTTTGTCGGGTAATTTTCATGAAGATCCAGGGGTTTGACCAAAGTCCCTCTCACAGAGTGAGAGGAACGCACACATTCACAGCCTGGCTGCCCTCAGGGACAACCTGGCTTCAAGTGCTGTCCAAGCGACTGCAAAAATACCCCCTGTGAGCACGGAAGCAATCAGGRAGGAAACAGCTAAAGGAAAATCCAGGAGCGTAAAGCCTTTCTTATAGATCATAAAAGAGCACAGCACAGTGTGTGCCCAACTTTAAAAGCAACCTGTGAGGAATATAACCCCTCCTCCAAGTATTTTAAATAGAAATTAGCTAGTTTTATTCAAGGATTTTACCAGGCCACTGTTATTTGCTACTTGTTTTAATCCAGAGGCAAGTTTCAACTGCACCTGCTGCAGCTAAGGGCCTAGGGTACATATTGCAAAAAGATCTGAAGGGGGTAAATGGGCAGGTAAGGAAAGCTGGACTGTTTAGATAACCACCARTTAAATGAAGAGAGCAAGTGTGAATGGAAAATATATAAATTATTTCTATACTTCACTGGTTTTCTGGCAACGGTCTGTAACCACAACACATCTCTGACATTAATCTTTCTTTAATCACCCATTTGGGGTGTTGATGTAGTGAGGTTCAGCAAGCTCTGCTGCATTGGCAGATCTGATGATAAAGGCAGAAAAGGGGCAAGTGGTGTGTAACAAACACTGCAAGGAGAGAACCACGGGCAAGGCCCTCACGCCGAGCCCTGCTGCACCACGGGCAGGGGGGCTCTCTGCCCAGGGACCCCCTGCTCGATCAGCAGCTGGTAACAACCTCAGCGAGAACCTATGGAGCCTATAGAAGCTGTATGCAGCTTCACATCCCAAATGGCATAAATGGGATAGATGCTAACTTCTCAGCTACTGTCACAGGCACCTAAAGGACCAGGGAGTTCACTAAAAGCTGCTCAGAATCTTACAGCACAGCTTAGATTTTCCTCTGTACCACAATCTCTGATATCAATTCAATAAGCTACCTGAAAAGCACAACAAATGTACTGAAATACTGATTCTGTTGCAATAGCTTGACCAGTCCCTAAATGACCCAGTCCCTGAATGACAGAGGGAAACATTTTCCTGACTCTTTGATCCTTACTGAGGCATTTATAYATTTGCAGCAAGGATCTAAAAATACAAACATGCTGCACTAATTAGAAATGTAAATACCTGGTCATGAGTCTCATACTCCCCCAAGCATCCTTGTAGCCACACTGAGACTGCAGGCAAGAAATATGAATTACTGGAGCGGACTACAGGGGTGGAAAACAGACAGGATCACTAGGCTAGGGAGCCACTTGGGCRAGTGGTTCAGTTATTAGTGGCATTTCCCAGGGGCTGAAAAGAAGGTTGCTAAGAAGTATYGACTCCAGCAGTGACCTGATTGCACCTTCAATGAGTTTGCAGTCAACACCCAACTGGAGGGAGCACTCAATACACTGCAGGGTAGGGCTGCYTTTCAGAGGGATCTTAAGAGGCTGAAGGAATATCCCAATGGGAGCTCTATGAAGTTCAGTAAAAGCAAATGTACAGGCCTTTATCTGGGACAAAATAACCCCACGGTTTGCTATGGGATGAGGGCTAACTGGCTGGCTCTGCAGAGAAGGACTCAGCTGCAAAAACAGAAACTATCACTAGATGAGGAAAATGTTCTTCCCCATGAGAGTGGCCAAATTCTGGGACAGAGGCCCAGAGAGGATGTGGAATTGCCATCTTTGGAGGTATCCAAAACTCAGCAAAAAAAGTTAAATAATAGCTTAAAAAGAGACACTGAGGGGAGGCATGACTCAAAAGTAAGCCTAAGTCTCATTTCTGATTTGCAATTTTCCATTTTTTCTGCTTAGGAACCTAAACACAAACAAAATTTCCATTTTACCGATTGGGAATGGCACAATATGCCCTTGAAGCGATCAAATGTAATAGCAAACTGACACCACTAGGCAGATGGTGCAGCAGACATTTCTAACACTGCTGTCATAGCTTTAAAGCCAAAGACACGTGGCAGAAGTGGCCCAGCCACACAGGTAGAGTGGTTTGCCTCCCTGAGCCAGGAGCAGCAACCTGCATGCAGGAGGTGTAAAAGCATCCAAAACTCCAGGTTTATGAACTCTGTACCTGGGAAACCTCTCACATTTGCTTGCTCTGTGC